ACAATTAAAATAGATGGAGAAAAGTACGTGGTAGTTAAAAATATGAGATATCTAGGAACATTTTTAACAGAAACTTTGGAAAACAAACAACAAGAAAAAGCAGCATGTAATCGATTAATAGTAGTAAAATAATTGTAGAATTCATAAGACGACATAAGCCCCCGTGGGCACTTTCCAAACTTATTTATAAAACAGTAGTCTCACCAGCTATTACATATGGATTGAAAGCAGCAGCTCTGATAAAAAGAAATAGAAATCCAATCAGTAGGTATGAATTACAATTATTCAAAGAGATGTTAAAAGGGAAGAATAACAGTTTCAAGCTTATTAGATGGAAAATCAGCAGTTAAAAAAGTTAGGGTAATGCGCATAACTTATTGGGGACATATAGAGAGAAGACCAGAAGGACATTCACTAAAAATAGCAAACATAAAACCTAAATTTTCTTGGAAAAAAAAGAGGCAGGCCCGCAAAACATGGAATGACAGTTTAAGAGAAGATAAGGAGAAATTACCTGAGATAACAGAAGACGGTTAATGCTGGGTAATGCGCAATACAGATCCCATTGAGATCACTAGCCTCTTCCCAGCAACTCCTATCCCTACCTCCCCGTGGTACCGGCCGGAAACTGTGAGCAACCTTAGAGAAGATCGGGTAACCAACCCCGGTGGGAACTTTGGTCATAGGCTGACAGGGAAGGGGGGGGGGGGGGTTTGCTTCGGCAAGCCTGAGCGTCTGTTCTCCAGGAGGAGCGGCTCACAACAGCGTCTGTTCCCATGTTAGGGGCGGCTGATCTACGTCCGAGTGCCAGTGAAGGACTCTAAGCACAACTGTGCACCCTGGTCCTCCGGAAAGTTAGGGGGTTGGTGTCAGGCCCTGTGAGCCAGCCGTAAAAAAGCATTGTAACGGAAAATCAGCAACAGAGGAATACGAACCGAGACCAACGGCAACGACCCCAGCGACGAAATAGGACTTGCGATTGGAAACTCGGCACGTGGAACTGTCAATTTCATCGGGAGCACCCGAATACTCGCCAATTTACTGAAGGACCGCGGATTCGGCATCGTAGCGCTGCAGGAGGTGTGTTGGACAGGATCCATGGTGCGAACGTTCAGAGGTAATCATACCATCTACCAGAGTTGCGGCAACACACGCGAGCTGGGCACAGCTTTCATCGTGATGGGCGAAATGCAGAAGCGCGTGATCGGTTGGTGGCCGATCGACGAAAGAATGTGCAGGTTGAGGATCAAGGGCCGATTCTTCAACTTTAGCATAATCAACGTGCACAGCCCTCACTCCGGAAGCACTGATGATGACAAGGACGCATTTTACGCGCAGCTCGACGCGAGTACGATCGCTGCCCAAGCCACGACGTCAAGATCATCATAGGAGACCTAAACGCTCAGGTAGGCCAGGAGGAGGAATTCAGACCGGGGATTGGAAAGTTCAGCGCCCACCAGCTGACGAACATGGCCGCCTCCAAGAACATGGCCATACGTAGGACCTTCTTCCAACACCACCTCCCCTATCGTTACACCTGGAGATCACCACAGCAGACGGAATCGCAAATCGACCACGTTCGGATTGATGGACGGCACTTCTCCGACATTATCGACATCAGGACCTATCGTGGCGCTAACATCGACTCTGACCACTACCTGGTGATGGTCAAACTGCGCCCAAAACTTTCCGTCATCAACAATGTACGGTACCGACGCCCGCCACGGTACAACCTAGAGCGACTGAAGCAACCGGATGTCGCCTTAGCATACGCGCAGAATCTCGAGGCAGCGTTGCCAGAGGAGAGCGAGCTTGATGTGCCCCCTCTAGAGGACTGCTGGAGTACAGTAAAAGCAGTCATCACCGACGCAGCCGAGAGCACCATCGGGTACGTGGGAAGAAGTCGACGGAATGAATGGTTCGACGAGGAGTGCAGAGCGATTTTGGAGGAGAAGAACGCAGCGCGGGCGGTAATGCTGCAGCATGGAACCCGACAGAACGTGGAACGGTATAAACAGAAGCGGAAACAGCAGACCCGCATCTTTCGGGAGAAAAAACGCCGCCTGGAAGAAGCGCAGTGCGAGGAAATGGAACTGCTGTGCCCTTACCAAGAAACACGGAAGTTCTACCAGAAGCTCAACGCATCCCGCAACGGCTTCGTGCCGCGAGCCGAAATGTGCAAGGATAAGGACGGGAGCCTCTTGACGGACGGACGTGAGGTGATTGAAAGGTGGAAGCAGCACTTCGATGCGCACCTGAATAGCGAGGAGAACGTAGGCACGGGAGACCAGCGCAATGGAGTAAACGACTACGTCAGTGCAGCAGAGGACAGAACTGACCCAACTCCCACGCTGAGGGAAGTTAAGGACTCCATTCAGCAGCTCAAAAACAACAAAGCAGCTGGTAAGGATGGTATCGTAGCCGAACTCATCAAGATGGGCCCAGAAAAGTTGGCCACCTGCCTGCACCGGATGATAGTCAGGATCTGGGAAACAGAACAGCTACCGGAGGAGTGTAAGGAGGGGGTAATCTGCCCCATTCACAAAAAAGGTGACCATTTGGAATGTGAGAACTTCAGAGCGAGCACCATTTTGAATGCCGCCTATAAAGTGCTATCCCACATCATCTTCCGTCGTCTATCACCTAAAATGACCGAGTTCGTGGGAAGTTATCAAGCCGGCTTCATTGACGGCCGATCGACAACGGACCAGATCTTCACCGTACGGCAAATCCTCCAGAAATGCCGTGAATACCAGGTCCCAACGCATCATTTGTTCATCGACTTTAAGGCGGCATACGACAGTATCGACCGCACAGAGCTATGGAAAATCATGGACGAGAACGGCTTTCCTGAGAAGCTGATCAGACTGATCAAAGCAACGATGGACGGTGTGCAAAACTGCGTAAGGGTTTCGGGTGAACTATCCAGCTCATTCGAATCTCGCCGGGGACTGCGACAAGGTGACGGACTCTCATGCCTACTCTTCAACATTGCTCTAGAAGGTGTAATGCGACGAGCCGGGCTCAACAGCCGGGGTACGATTTTCACGAAATCCGGTCAATTTGTGTGCTTTGCGGACGACATGGAAATTATCGCAAGAACATTTGGAACGGTGGCAGAACTATACACCCGCCTGAAACACAAAGCAGCAAAGGTCGGACTGGTGATGAGTGCGTCAAAAACAAAGTACATGCTAGTAGGCGGAACCGAACATGACAGGATTCGTCTAGGAAGTAATGTCACGATAGACGGGGATACTTTCGAGGTAGTGGAGGAATTCGTTTACCTTGGATCCTTAATGACGGCTGACAACAATGTGAGTCGTGAAATACGAAGGCGCAGTGGAAGTCGTGCCTACTACGGGCTCCAGAAGAAACTACGGTCAAAAAAAATTCACCCCCGCACCAAATGTACCATGTACAGAACGCTAATAAGACCGGTGGTCCTCTATGGACACGAGACATGGACTATGCTCGAGGAGGACCTGCAAGCACTCGGAGTTTTCGAGCGACGTGTGCTAAGGACGATCTTCGGCGGTGTGCAGGAGAACGGTGAGTGGCGGCGAAGAATGAACCACGAGCTCGCTGCACTCTACGGCGAACCCAGCATGCAGATGGTGGCCAAACCCGGAAGGATGCGGTGGGCAGGGCATGTTGCAAGAATGCCGGACAACAACCCTGCAAAGTTGGTGTTCGTTACTGATCCGGTTGGCACAAGAAGGCGTGGAGCGCAGAGAGCACGATGGGTGGACCAGGTAGAGCGTAATCTAGCGAGCATTGGGCATGACCGAGGATGGAGAGCGGCAGCCGCAAACCGAGTATTGTGGCGTACTATTGTTGATTATGTCTTATCTTAAATGTGATGTTGTACAAATAAATGTATGTATGTATGTAACAGAAGAACAATGGTTAGAGTTGGTTAAGAACAAGGAGAAATAAATAAAAAAAAAACAGGCAGAGGAAATTTAAAACTATAGGAAGCGAAGAAGAAACAGAATCAGATGTAGAAGACTAGAGAATCTCAAAAACTAAAAATAAAATAAGAGAAAGATTAAAAGAAAGACAAAAGCTGTTAATAAAGGAGGAGAAAACAGGTTTGTTATTTATGGATAATTGTTTGGAGAAGATTAAATGGAATAAAGAAATAAGAAGTGACATAACAAGAAGTGACCAGGCATTCTGAAATGGGTTACTGAATCTCAACAGAGCTATCACCTTTCAATTTCCGGGCTAAAATTGTTTGCAATGGGATCAGTATAAGATAATAATAGATTATATTGCAAACATTTTTCTTCCATAAAAACACTGCCTGACAGTGGAAGTTGGATTGTATATACATACATACATACATACATACTCCCCAAGTAACAATTTGAGTTTTATTAAGGCTGTATGACAGAGTATATGTTACGTTACATTTGCTGAAAATTTCTGCCTAATTTGAAAGACTGTACTTGCATGGAATGTTACTTATCCTAGTCTGCCAAAGAAAGCCAAGGTTAGTGATTTCAGCAATGCGTATTTACGGTTACCAATACCCAATTTTCTGTTCTACTCTGTCACGCTAGACAACACACCGAAACTATTATCTCCGAATACATGCTGTACGGCTCCTATAGGAAGGCATGTCAAGTAAAGACCGTACCTACAAGGGAACTTGATGTCCAACAGCATAAAATGCTATCATGCTACGCACCGAACTGCATGCGATGCAATTGCAATAAAATTAAATAATAATCGGCAAGTAAGCGGTGACGGTGAGCACGCTACCAAAACAAACCCTGCGACGACTGACTCTGCGTGTATATTTACCTACCTCCTTCAATGGAACAGTACGTATCCACTTTATGAAAATAAAGCTAAAAAATAGACCATTATGTTCAAGCCGCCATCACCCCACTTGGAAGCACATGGATTGTCTGGGCGATAGGAAAACCATTCGTGCCACCAGGAAAAATGCCACCTCTGAAGCATTTCTTGTTGCAGTTCTTCCTCGACCGTCTAGCTGACTGGCGCACATTTTTGCACGTTTAAATTCCGACATAAGGGTTCCGAGTTGAATCAGGTGAACCGCGATGATCGCCTTTCTGTGGGTCGTGCTGTCGATATCGGTTGCGGTTCTAGTTCGATGGCAGTGGCAGAAGAGAGTGAAATTTGCGGGTGCCCTACCCCGGGCTAAACCATACTATCCGGTGGTGGGAAATCTTCCGTTGGCGATAGGAAAGAATCCCAACGAACTGTTTGACTCCCTATACGAGTGCTTTCGGCAACATGATCGTATGTTTACCCTTCAGTTCAGTACGATTGTGGCCGTATGTCCGTCGCATCCGGAGTTGATTCAGCGAGTGCTTAACCACCCCGACTGTCAAGAGAAGCCGGATGTGTACAAAGTAGTTCGATTGCCGAAAGGGCTACTTGCGGCCAGATGTGAGTATTGGTATTGGTGGTATTTTACGACCGATTTGTATAAGTGAAAGAGTTGTGTGCTCGTTCTAGATGAAACCTGGAAGGTTCACCGGAAAACGTTAAACTCGACGTTCAATACGAAAATCCTGCACAGTTTCCTGTCTATCTTCAACAATAGTTCAAGGAGATTGATCGATCGGCTGGGCCAGTGTGCTGATGGCGGCGAATCCTGCAATATACTTAAGTACATTTCCGAGTGTACTCTGGAGATGATTTGCCGGACATCACTCGGCGGGAAAGCTCTCGAAAGGGAAGGTCGACAGGATTTCATTGAAAACTTGGAAGTGTAAGTAGGTCCTACGGTCCGATCGGGTGAATTACCTATATCACAAATATGAGTAACAGGATGGGTAAACTTTGTATGGCGGATCACAACCCCTTGCTCCCGACTGCGCTTTTGATCTGTATTCAGCTCCTTCAACAACTGTGAACGAGTTTGGTATGGATCTGGATTTGCAAGAATACTTTAAAGTTATGGGAAACCGTATGGGAAATGCAACAAAACTATTCATTTGCCTGCCATACATGGAATTTATTTTATAGCTTGTTATTCTTGTCATGAAAATTTCTGTCATTGAAATCAAATCAAAATAGGCGTAGCAAAATAGCCTGTTTTGCTTTGAGCCTGTAGTGATTGTTTAAGATTGTCCAGTGTGCAGTGAGGAAAATGTATTCTTCTGTTTTATATTTGATTTGAGTATATTCAATGAATGAATTTAAAAAAGTAGAAGGGTCTGTGCCTAGGGGCACGAAGGGAAGCTTGACGTAGGACCGCTAGTGGACGGAACAAATGTGAAGAGCATTTAGTTCTTTTAATTGATCGATTATCTATTATCTTAACTCTTTCCGTTTTTGAATTGTAGGCGTATCAAATTTGTAGTCATTTTTTTAAAAGAGAAAGTTGTTGAAGAGAATTGATCAAAATAACTTGCACCCCTGCTTTCAAGTTTGGTTACAAGATTACAACTCTGGAGAGCATTTTGTGTGGTCGTTGGGGGCGTGTGGTTCTGAATATGGACAAACAGGCACAGATGAATTCTATTCCAACTCTCTACTGTAATAAGCTTGTTGGCCGGGAAAAGGCCGTTTTGTTGACAAAGTTGGTGATAATTTAACCTCCGAAACCGTACAGAGTGCGTATGTCGCTTCAAAGCGTAGACGACATCTATGGCCGCTTACGCTTGGCGTGTTCAGTATAGGTGACAGCATCACGGATCTCATTTTCCAGGAACACCTTCAGCACACCTCGTAGATCAGACCGGAGATACGTTTGACACCGCCACGGCGAACCAGACGACGGATGACGGTTATCACGAAGAACCTTGGGATGACGCTTGGCGCCTTCTTTACCAAGACCTTTTCCTCCTTTGCCACGACCAGTCATTGTTGCTTGTTAGGTAGAAGAGTAGACTACCTAACCTGCCACTACCTTCCTATTGCTGCTATTGCTATTTCTGCTGCCTGCTCACCGAACGAATCGAAAATTAGTTGAGGCTACACAGCAGCGCTCTTTTATATCTTGTCAGGTTAATGCAGAATGATGTGCAACCAAGTGGTACACGACTATGACGACTGGGTTTGGGAAGAACGATTATTTCATGAAAACAGTGATAAAATTAACACTTTTTATTTGTACATTGGACAATTACCACTTTTTCAATAGTTTATTGTTGAAAATCATCAGTCATCAGTAGTCCTACGTCAAAACGATGTCCCATTGAATGAGATAGCTGGATGTGACACTTTTACATAAATTACTTCACGCAAGATTTCAATACCGCTTTGTGTATTATTGTTCAACTGTAAGAAAAGCATCAGCAAACTGCTCCCAATGACGGTTCGTGACTGCTTGATTCTGGCTCCTTTTTACGTTCATATTCTACGAGTCTGCTTCTTCCTCCCAGGAGAAAACTATGCAGAGCAACTTCGTTAAGGATTGCAAATAGATTCGACTTCTGTTACTAACCTTTTACTTTAGCTTTCCATTGTTTACAGGGTTTCCTAGTTCAAGATTTCTTTAACAAACATCCTATCATCCAATCGGTCTATTGAGTTTCGGCCTCATGGCAATCGGTCTAATATGCGAAAAGGAGGCCAATTCGTTAAACTGATACTTGAGTGCTACGTTTGTTTAATCTTAGAGTTGTAGAAAAATAATTAATTGGAATCCGTCATGCACGTTTTACTGATAATCCAGATTGATATACAGTCGCATCCACTGACTTCCAGAGTTTATATTTAGGTCACGAATTCAAATCCTTCTTATGGCACAACTTCAGGAAGGAGGGCAGCTCTGGCGTAGGGGTTAACATTCATACCTCTCATGCCAAAGTAAATCTCATCCCCGGACGAGTCCTGATTGACCCAATAGTGTAAACCCTTTTGGGACGTCTTTTTTCTTTATATATTTAAAGTAAACGTTGATTTTTTTTTCGGTGATTTGTATCAAAAATCTTACTATAATGTTTAGAAAATTATTTGCAAAACTAATTTGATGGGATGTCCCAGGCCATCCAAACTAAAGCCCGATTCAAAGTAAATTTGGTCGCATTTAAGTGATCATAACTCAAGAATTAAACAACAAACACGGTTGATAAAAACTTCAAACAAAAGGGTATTTATTCAGCTTTCAAACAATATATAACAAGTTATTACATTTCATCGTTTCGAACGAACTGTCGCACTTTGATCGATGCCATCATGATCTGCACAGTCGCTGGTGACACTGTACCGGCGAACTTATTCCACTTTAAACGCATTTGTTGTACATTTGTCACTTCTTTACCGCATGCTCGAAGTTTTCGCTTGACAAGTGCCCAATATTTTTCGATCGGTCTGAACTCAGGGCAATTCGGAGGATAAATTTCTTTGGCGACGAAATTAACATTGTTTGCAGCATACCATTTTAGTACCTCCTTAGAGTAGTAGTAGCTGGCTAGATCCGGCCAAAACATAGCGTTGGTCTTGTTTTGCCGAATGAAGGGTATAATCCACTTTTTCAGACACCTTCGACGTCATTGTGTGAGATGTGATGAATACCTTGGTTTTAAGGCCACAACTGCAGATTCCTTGCCAAATCATTATTTTCCGAGCAAACTTATCAGCAAAAACAAATTTATACCTGGAAGGGAGATCCCCACGACCAGTTGCCAGGTAAAATTTTCGTCCGGGGATTTGTTTATAATCCATTTTGACATATGTTTCGTCATCCATTAAAATACAGCCATCAAATTTCGTCAAAACTCTTTCGTATAGTAATTGTGCTCGCTTTTTGGCCACTAAATTTTGTTTCAGGGAGTGATTCGGATGTTTACTGGCACAAAAAGACTTATATCCTTCTTTTGAAAGGATGTTACGCACGGTGGAAAAGTTGGAGTCGTATTTCTTTGCCAAATCACGTATGGAGACACCTGGGTTGCTTTTCACGTACCTCAACACCTTTCTCCTCAGCTGTCCCTAGTGCCACTTTTATGATAGATGCGCTGTGCTCTATCCACACTCAGAGTATCCTTGTAACGTTTGATTACAAGACTCACCGTTGACTTTGGGAATTTTAACACTTTTGCTATTTTTGAGGCAGACCACGAAGGGTTCTCACAGATGTTTGTGCACAATTAATTTTTTTTTCTCAAGTTCCATGATCCGTAATTTCGGGATGCGTCAATCAATCGAGAAAAACTTTTCACCAATTTCTTTGTCAATGAAACATCAACAAATGCCTGTCAAACGTTTTTTGTTCCAACCACCAGGGGTGCGGTGGTGTATTAAACCGTGCGTCCAGATTTACTTTGAATCGAGCTTTATCCTGGAGTGCTTATTCTTTGTTATATCGCTAAAATCATCTGGACACTGGTCTTCCCTTTGGTATAGAACTTAGTTATGTTCATAAAATCTAGATCTATCATTCTAGATCCATTATCATGGCCATAGCATAATCTAAGTCTTCTAAAACGTTCAAGAGTTCAGATCATATGATCTACTTGATCAACCAGGGCTTGAAAAATATTTCGTAGCAATATAACATATCCAAACGTAGCGGCGCCGGTGGTGTAGTGGTAAGCGTGATTACCTCTCACCCCAGCAGGTCTGGGTTCAATCACAGTCGGCGCCGCCGGGATGTTCTGATGCATAACATCTTTTATCACGCCTTCCTTCGGAAGGGAAGAAAAGCCGTTGGTTCATGAGTTGATGGGTCGATAGGTAGGGTCCAGGTGTGGGAGCTGCCTCCCTGGCGTCGGTAGCATTGGTGCTACGCCAAGGAAAACAAGATCGACGGAAAACAAATCAAGAAAAAAAAAAATATATCCAAACGTATCCGTGGAACCTATGTGCATCAATTACGATCACATTCCTTTGTTTATAAGATATTCTAAGTTCTTCAAATCGTCCTGGAGTTAGATTTCTAGATCAACCAAAAATGGATCACTATTCTTACCTCCGAAACATGTCAAAGTAGGTTAATGGAGTGAATACGCCATCATTTATGATCACTTTCTATGTACATCAGATGTTCTAGGATCTACAAATCGTCCTGGAGTTCTCAGCAAATGTACTACAAGTTTAACTACGACTGAGATAATGTCAAGAGCATCGGAAAATGTCCAAGCAGATTAATAGAGTCATTTACCATCCATTTTCATGTATAAAAGATGTGCCAGTTTCTCAAAATCGTTTTGAAGTTCAGATCGAATGATCTACTAAATCATCCACGACTACGACAGCACCCTAAGCAACGATACATGTCCAAACAGATTCATAGAGTCTTTTTCTTCTTCTTCTTCTTCTTCGCATTTCAAGCTTAGTGCATATCGCATATTAGCTTATTGCGTGCTCTCAACTTAGTGTTCTAGATGCACTTCCACAGTTATTAATTGAGAGCTTTCGATGCCTGTATCATTTTTGCATTGGTATAATTGTGTGGCAAGTCCAATCATACTTCTATTCCCAGGGAAATCGAGAAATTTTCCAACCCGAAAAATTCCTAGACCGGACCGGGAATTGAACCCAGCCACCTCCAGCATGGTCTTGCTTTGTACGTGCGGCTTTACCGACTGAGCTAAGGGAGGCCCCGCATAAACGACTATGCGCATAGAGTCTATGCGCATTAGACTGATGCAAAATTTGAAATTTTCGCTCCACAGTGCTTAAACGGTTCCAAATTAGGTCCTGCTTAGCCTCCTAAAATTTGAACTACTTTAGTAAGATACTGACTAGGCACAAACCATTTCAAGTTCATATGGGAATTACTATGGGTCAAGTTATGTTTTTGTTAATATCTATCTGACA